GATGGTGTTCTCATAGATGAAATGTGTTCCGTTGCTCTTGAAATGGAAATGACAAAATGGTATACGTTTATTATAGCTTAAAGATGTCCTATAGAGAACAGAGTCTGTGTCGATTGTCTATGGGCTGTACCCTGAGAGCAGTCCCACACAAGTGGTCGTCATTGTTAAAGTGGAAGACCAGTCGTCCGTCCTGGAGAGTCCCATTGCAGGAGTCTTCACGGAGATGCAGGGCGCTAGAGTGGAAGCCAGCCTCAAACAGCTGGCAGCGCGACACTGACATGGTGCCTGAACTACTGGCACAAGTGATGGACGAGTCTATGAAAGAGAAATTAATGTTTGACAACATAATATGTTTAAGCTTGTTAAAGGCAAAAAGAAGCATTTGTAGTATGTGACATTTTTAAGTTAAAAGGAGACCTTAACAAATTTTAATGGTTGCCTGTGGACTGTTGATTTATATGCATTTCTATGTAGGGTTGTGTTGTCTTTCAGCTCATTGTTTTGTTTCACTCTCACTATCCTCATCAGTCTTGTTTCCAGTAGCAGTAAGAACTGTGATAAACTGACTAACTGGTGAACATAGTGGAGGATTTAGCTGCTAAAGAGACAGACATATTCCCTCAGGAGAATCAGACCAAAAATAGAGCTAAAATAAATTGTGGGACTTCCATTCATCAAATTGTTAATTGAAAGATTATCACAAATGAACACTAATGTTGCTCTGCGTCTGCTTAATTTTTGAAAAAATAGGCAACTGTTTGTAAATATGTTCACCATATCTGCTTTATAAGGTGAGAATATGTCAGTGTTGTGTTTACAACTTGTTGTGTAGCTCCTTAGTGGTCAAGAAATATATTATGCAGGTTGAAAATAAGGGGGATAATGCTAAAAAAATGGAATAGAGAAATACCAAAGCTCCATGAAGCCATAAATAATAAATGTATAGTCGTTTTCCTACAACCAAAACTTGAATGTTGTTCCACCCTCTTGTGATGGTGTACATTTTTCTCTAACAATACTAGTCTACTACTCATCTAACACATAATCACTGTCATTTCAGTGATCTTAAAAATAAAGCAGTGTTTTAAGAGGAGGGGCCCTCACCGTAGCTCTCATTGTTGGGCCGATGGTGGTGTTCATCACAGAAGCAGCCGTAGACACCGTCTTTTTCACCACACCACTCATACTCTGTGCAGTTCTGCTGCTCACAGGGGTCTGACTCAGCTATGGAAATAAGGTAAAAACAGAAAATACATTTTCCACAAGTAGGACAAAAGGCAAGCTCCATGAACCTAAGTATTTATTTTCTCATGCATTATTTTAGCTCTCCTTTGGCCCAGTACAAACATACCACAGTGCAAAGCTGAGCGCCACTGTGGGATGTTCAACCCCAGCACAGAGCAGGTTCTCTCAATAGGCTTGAGACAGCAGGAGCACAGCATGCCATTGGGGCTGAGTGGTAGAGGCAGAGATTCGTAGACACCAGGAACTGAAAAATGACTGGGGTCAGAGTGAAGGTGACAGGCACTGAATGGGCCGCTAGTGTTGGTGATGACATTACAGAGCTCAGAGTATTCTTCGATGAAGGGGCAGTCATTGAGTCCACCACTCCTTTCATCGGTGGATCCACATCTGGAAAAGACATAAGCATGAACAACTGCGGATGTATTGCACTGTTGCCTAAAATCTGTAAGCAGCCATGGCATGCAAAATTTGCTGGTCAACCTGAACAAGACTTCTTCTTTGTAGTGAAAGTGTGAAATGTATTTTTATAACAGTTCACCCTGGTTTGCTTGTGGGTGCCTTCCAGCTGTCTCCAAAGTCGTTGTCATTTTGTGCCAGTGTGCCATTGGGCAAGACTTTGTCATCTGCAGGGTCATTGTTGAAGTTTCCACACATCCCTGTGACTCTGTTTTCACGGTTTTGGCCCACTCTGACCAGTAAAGTACTCAAACCGTCAAACTGGATTATCAAGTCAATGGCATCAACCACTATGTAGCTTCCCTGCCTTACCACCTGAGCTAAAGTTCCTGCAGTGCTGGGAAGAGACACCTCACTTCCATTTACCTGAGGGAGGAGAGATTAGAGAAAGATGTTTTACCCAGACAGATTTATTTATTATTTATATTATATTAAGTTATATACAATAAAGTAATGGTGTTTACCGTTACTCTTTTGTTGGGTCCAATCCTGATGTTTACTCTATCCGGTTGATTTGAGAGGTATACATCCACTGCTGATAAAAACGACACGCGGTTGTTGCCACGGTGATTATTAGTGGCTGCTACCTGAAACTGGGTTTCATTGGTGCTGTGGCTCACACTCT